GGAGAGGTGTCCTTTCCATAAATTCATTTCAGCTGTAAAACGTGAACGCACCAAATGAGCACCGCTTCCATATTAGGGTCCGACTACTCACGGCGATACCGAAGAGTCGTTGTACATGCCGAACGGGCAATGCGAAGTACGGCGAGAGTAGGCCTCGATCTATTTGCGACGTATACACACGCACATGTACATACATAGTTCCGTGCAAATGGGTGCGAGTATTTGTATGTCATATTATCCGTGCACTTATTAACGTCTGAAAATATTGCGGGGCAGCAAGTAAAACGAGAATGGATTATCTTCTTGCGAACGTGAAACGTAACGTTGAATTTATCATCGTTCAAATGACCGCGCGATTTTTGCAGAAAAAGTCCCGAAGGAATACGATTCGTTAATATCTGAGATTTACACTCTCAACATTTCGATACGATTTTATTACTTTATTACATACATTTCGTAAATTAGAACAGAAGTGAAGGGTGATATCGTTAAGTGGCAGCGGTTTAAATGACAGAGATAAAAAGATGTGAGATCGCGTGAGGAATATCGTGATCGATCGTTATACCGGCAACCTTTTAATTTATATCATTGCATTTTAAGTGACTCGCGTAATAGCCGGGCAAAATTTATAAGCCACCGCGTCACCGAACGTGGGCGATTATTTACGATGATTGTGCGATGCGTACTCAAATTTAATAATGAGTACGTAGCCGAGCTCATCGCGACTCTTCGTTTATCGTATTCATTCATTTCTTGGCGATGGCCATTTATCGATCAAAAATACTATTAATGTTATTAAAGAGATAAATACGTTCCTTCAGCTTGAATATAAATCGCTTTTAATCGACTCACTTTATTTTGCATTATAAATTCATGATAAAAAAAATTATAATGTTTTTATTTTATTTTAAATGCCATAATTACTTAGAATATACATATGAAGAATTTTATATCAGCGTAAAGAATGTATATTTTCAATGTCACTGTTCACCTTTAGAATTTTACACAACCATGGAAAAATCATCGATCACCTGTGTGATGACGAAAGTTTATAAGAAAATTAAAAAGTTATCTAGCGATAGTTTATTTTTATCGATAGTGGACAAGCAAATTGGTGCAATCCTATGTGGAATCGGACCATTCAATCGCGAAACCTTAATCGAGGCGCGAGAATCTCTCTCTCTCTCTTAATACGCCGCCAGCATTAAAACTCGCACGGAATGATCCTGACAAGGGTTAAATTTCGCATCTTACTTCTTGTACGACGGACGCAAACACATTGATAGCAGTGGATCTCAAATGGCGATGCGTCACGCATCCACCCACAAGGACTTACATTGTCCAATGGCAGCGGGCCCGTTTTTGCGGGCCGACACTGCCGTTATTATATTTCTCCGCGATTTTATGTCTCGTGAGTCGATCTTATTAAAGATAACGAGCCCGATCGTATCGTGCCGTGCAATAAAGTATTTCGCGTGTATCTGTGCGATATTACCGCGCCACCGAGGTGATATCCTGACTCATTATTTGTCTCGCGATGAAAGGCGGAAAATGATTTGATTCTCTGAATTGGAAAGACACATCTGTTCGCTTGTTTCGAAACGTACGAAATAAGATTTCCTCAGCGCAATGCAAATTTCACGTTGTGAATGTAACTTTAATAACTTGTTTATTCAAATCTCTTTTTCATATGACAGTGTATCAAACAGACTTGATAATATATAATATATTTTATAAAATTGAGAGACGTATATGCGATACGAAATACGTTTGCATTCAAATATATATCTCGTTTGCGAACATTGTTAATTAATAAATAAAAATTAATTAATAAAGCGATCAAGATTAATCGACGGTTTTAATTACCTTTTTATTTTCTGACTTTCTTTTTGACAAGGGATTTGAATCAAACCGAAACCGAAACCAATAACCATACCACATAAATTACTTTTTAGTTAAGCCGAAATCGTAAACTTGTATTAAAATTCTGAAAAGTTTATTGGTTATTAAATGATTTTTTTTTTTATTTTTTTAGACCGAACCGTAATTGAAACGGAGCTGAAATATCATTTTAATATGAGTTCCCGGTTTTAACTCTTTACGCGAACGAGATGTATACAAGATGTACCGTGAACTCTCAGTGGGTGGACGATGAGAGAGTTACCACCTTGGTGAACGAACGTGTACCGGCCACCATCGGCGGTGTTTCCTTCGTGTACCCTTCTTATGTCGGACGAGATCTTTATTTCGTCGTGAGAAAAATTTGTTCGCCCGCTCGTGCGAACGTGTATTTATGTATGTATATATGTGTAGATACATGTGGAGCGTGCTTTCTCTTGGGCTTTATCTCTTTTTTTCTCTCGCTCGTCGTGTCGAGGTTAAAAGTTCGCGTGTCCACGTCTCCCTCGTGTGTGCCTCGTGACTGTTGTGTATGGCGAATCCTTATGCAGCCTCCCCCTTAAAGTACCCACACGTTCATGGTGCCATGTCCCAGCGACCGCTTTGCGATTATCCGTACAAAATTATAGTTTTTATTTAAAGTATAAATTAATTTACCAATTCGGATTTGTCTTACTAGATAATTTAATTTATTAATTTAATTTA